CACACACACACACACACACACACATATGTATATATATATATACACACACACACATATATCTATATATGTATATATATATATATATAGTGTGTGTGTGTGTGTGTGTGTGTGTGTGTGTGTGTATATGTATATTTATTTGTTTATTTATTTTAACTTTACCTTTTTGTTTTCATCCAGTTTGCCAACCCAGACTTCACCCAGCCCATCTCAGAAGTGGTGGATGAAGTCATCCAGAACTGTCCCATCGACGTCAGGCGTCCTCTCTACAAGGTAAACGCACGCCTGTCTGCTTCTGTTTGAAACATGGACACGCAGCACATAGCAGTAATTATTTTGTGTTGTGTCACAGAATGTCGTGCTCTCTGGAGGCTCCACCATGTTCAGGGACTTTGGCAGACGCCTGCAGAGGGACCTGAAGAGGACTGTGGATGCACGACTGAAAATAAGCGAAGAGCTGAGCGGTGGGAAGTTGAAGGTAAGGGGGTAGAAGTAGCACGAGGAGCTGATACAGGCAGCTTCACATAAATCTGTGAAACATTTTGCTCCGCAGAAGAACTCTTTCTTCCAAAGCCTGCAGGCTTTTCAGTAAACTGTTGAGCACAAATCATCTTTGTTTTGCAGCCCAAACCCATCGATGTGCAAGTCATCACCCATCACATGCAGAGGTACGCTGTCTGGTTCGGAGGATCAATGCTGGCATCTACTGTGAGTATTTCAAGGACATCTGTACTTTTGCACTGCAATCAGTGTTTTCATCATAGTAGTAAATACCCTGTAGTTACACTCTCTAGTTCTAGTGATGTAAGCTGTACGCTTTTAACTCCATAATATATGCACACCGTTAGTACCCATGTGTCCAGTACTTCCTCGCTTTACTACCCAGTACATACCCGCTGAACTATCCAAAATGTATTCTCTTAAGTATCCAGTATGTAAAAGAACTTATTTTGTAAGTTTCTTATATGAAGGTGCGCATTAGAAAGAAAGCTAACAGGCTTCTTTTGCAACATTTAAGCCCTGAATTTCTTTGTTTACACTGTGATGTTTCCAAAATGTTATTCAGTGTTTAAGTTTGCTTTGTTACATTTGTGTGTTGCTTCTGCAGCCCGAGTTCTACCAAGTGTGCCACACCAAGAAAGACTACGAGGAGATCGGGCCAAGCATCTGCCGCCACAACCCCGTCTTTGGAGTCATGTCTTAGGCGATGGAGAGAAAGAATGCATTCAGGGGAGGCCAAGAAGAGGAAAAACAAAAAACGGACGATGCAAGACCTCACGTGCTGTGCAAGTCCCTCCAGCCTTTGCACGGATGCTCCGACAGATTATTTGTATAGAGCTACAGTGGACCAAACAAACTGCCAGAAGAGTGGCAGCATCCTCACAAATTAGAGGAAAGAGGTGACTCAGCCCAAAGGATCCTCAGATAAAATGTTTACTGCAAGTAGGCTGATGATGATGATAATAATAATAATGATGATGATGATAGGTGATAAATCTTTAATTTCTGCGTGCCTCATATATGTACTTACTCTATCCTCACAGGATTGTAAAATGTAATTAATCAACATGAGTCCTGTATAAATGCAATTCTGTGTATATGGGTTGGGTTGTGGTATGTGTTCTGTACTCTAAAAACTGAAAGTGTAACGGTTGTTTTAAGAAACACATCATGCTTTGCTACGCGATTACTCAAAAGCTTGGAGTCACTTTGAAATTTTCTTGTTTTTGAAAGAATATTAGATTTTTTAAAATCTCATGTAACATGAAGTGGATCAGAAATGTATAAATAACTCTGTAGGCATACTTGGGTCCATTTTCTGTAACCATCACTCCTCTTTTAGTGGCATATAGTGTTCCCCAGTTCAAATTTCGCATGTTAAAAGGCCGCTAATTATGCTAGCCTGACTGAAAACTGTCCCGCTGATTTAAAAAGCCATGCGTTTAGTTTTATCGATGTCTGGGGCATCATCGTTTGGGGTCAGTTAAAGTGGAAACAAACAAGGCCTAAAGTGTTCTCGTTCTAAGAACTGAAGATTTCAGTCTGTGGTGTGTACCAATCCTTTCTTCGAAAAGCCGAATCTGGCTTCAGCCACCGGTGCTGAAGTGAATGCATAACTGACCGGAAATAAGTGCATCTTAGGGCTGAGAGTCTCACAGCTTCTCAGGTGGCAGCATCTTTAAATGGTACCTGTAAGAGTAACACTGTTCCAGTTTGTAAAGGGATAGTACACACTGTTGTATGACAGTTTTAATTTTTCTGCAGTTTTCATACAGAGAAAAGACGAATGGTTCAGATTCATTGCCTCTTTAATCAGCACAGCTTTCAGCTTCGCTATCATTATTGGAAAAGTTTTTATAAGTCAACCTTTTAACAAGAACAAAATGTTCTGCTGGGTGATAAAGGAGCGATGCTTGCTGAAAACGAGACCCTGCATGAGCCTACATCGATATTTTAATAATTCGAGGAGCCTCTGTATGTGCATGTGCTCTTGGCTTGTGTCAGCAACTGTTCATCTGATCCACTTGTTATTTGGCGGGCGTATTGCTGGGCTCCCAAATACGTGCAGTATAAAGTGCAATGAAATAATCTGGATGGGCGTTCCTCGTGAGGACAAAGTCACTGCTCTCACTAACTGTGAGGAATCAGGGAACATCTGTAAATGGTAGCTACTCACATAGCACGCACTGCCCTGCTTCCATTTAAATTTATTAATAATTTGTGATGAAACAATTAAATCTCAGAGCTTCTCTTTCAAGGACAGCTTTTTTTCCAAGTGACCCCAAAGGCAGCCTTTCTGTGCAGCAGCTTTATGATAATGAAATTGGTGCAAGCATTAAAAAAAAAGAAGGAAAAAAATAGAAATCACCAAAACAAACTGACCATTCCCATTTCCTTTGTTTTTTTTAAGTACCCTCAGTACCTGGAAGAAATATTTATTTGAATTTACATGAAATTATTTGCTCGTGTTTGTTTCTTCCTGGTTCCTCCTGCAGCATTATGACAAATCACCACCGCTTTGCTCTTTTTTTTTAAATCCCCCCCCCCCCCATTTGTATGAATCATCTCTTGAACAACCCGTCTTTGAAGGAAAAACAAATCGTATTAATATATGAACATGCAGTTTGAATGACTTGTTGGACTGTCACTGTTGCCTAGATCTCAGTTATACTGGATAGCCTTGTACTGTACCAAATCTGGATTTCAATGCTGGCATTCCAATAAACGCCAAGGAGATGTTTCTTCACGTGTTGATTTCTCTGTTTCGGGCTTTATTATCTTGTTTGCTTTGCTTCTATTTTTAAATGTACCCATCCTATTTATGTGTGTCTGAGCCCTGGCCTCTGTAACTGTATCCCTTCCAACATATGGTGCACATTTATTTTAATTCAGCCACCTTCTTGTGCCCGATTGGTCAGCAGTAAAAGGGAAGCCCTGTGTAGAGTGTCATGCGTAATCGACATGTCCAGCCTCTTAGGAGGCTATCAGACTTTTTAAACATGACATGCTAATAGAGTAAGAAAGAGAAGCACCGAGACGGAGGAATCTGGAAAGATTTAAACATGTCGTCCAGCCTGAGGTTGAAGGTGCTCCTCTTCTTTGCTCTATTCTTTGGAGCAACAGGGTTTCTCTTCCTGATTCTCTCCTGTGGGACTGAGTACTGGCTGCTGGCTGCAGAGTCCTGCAGCAACCCCGGAGAACACAGCCTGAGAGACGGGAAGAGCAACGTGAAGGTATTTGAACTGTGCAGGAGCGACGAGTTGATTTATGTGATGCCTTTTAAGAAAGGGAAACAGTAGTTTATGAGTAAAGATGTATTTATTAACATGCGTATTTAAAAAAGGAATATGCTTTGAAATATAAAAGTTACAAAAACAGACTGAATGACTAACATAACATGGAAAACTGTTAATACGCAAAATTTGTCATTTAAAAAAAATGAAAAGCAGATTTTTCCACATTAAAATATGTTTATTTATTAGATAAAACTTAAATGATAGCGTAATGCTGTGAATTTGTATCTAAAATTTGAGTCAACATCATCAATTTATAAAAGAAATAAGTAAAAATACAGAAGAATGTAATTTTTCTGAGCTACTGCAACTGTATTTTAACGGAATACAGGAATTTTTGTTTTTTTATTCATGCAAAATATTTGGTGCCCAAAGTGCTACCTTTTTTTATGGGTTTAACAAAAAACAAACAACAACAACAAAAACATTCAGTATAGGATTGCACCAGCCAGATTTCTCCTGCATGGCTAAGATCAAAAGATTGTTACATCTTTTAACACAAATCTATTTTTTCTCATATTTCAGGCCATTCAAAAGACAAAAGTGTGTATAATATTTTATTATATTTTAAGAAATAAATGTTGACAAATGTTAGTGCAATGCTAGTGATTTTCCATTAGCTCTCCCTAAAGCTGATTTGGGCTGAGGGGCCTGGCAAACCTTTACCACTGCATGGAAATCACTGGACCAGAGGCCAGTACTTGGATTATATGGCAACAGCGTTACACTTCTAATCTGCACACAAACATAAAATGATTTTGTAACAAAAAAGACTGAAAGAGCAAAATAATACTAAAATAGGAGTATAACAGGGTAAGTATAACAAACCAATGTGTCAACATGTTACATGATGCCATTATTTTGTCACAGTAACCTTCATCACCATTGTCAGGCTGCTTATTACACATCACTTTGTTGCTGTCATGTCGCTAGTGGACCGGGTGCAGGCTCTTGTTGCCTAGGTAACCTTGTAACACCCATGTGAACTGTGTTCTTCGCTGTCATTGGTAATCGCTTCAATTGTGCACCTCAAAGTTGAGAAAAGTTTAACTTAATGATGACAAATTTTATATATATTCAGTCAATTTAATTGATTTTTGTGGAGTAGCCCACAGCACGTCCTATATACTGTGTACCATGGGTTGCATTTCTGGCTAGTTGGTGATGTTTCACACCACTGACCCTTCACATTTGCAAAACAACCGATGTTATTTTAGGCCCTGTGCATGAGAAGGGGCTGAAAAATAGACATATTGTGCATCAGATACGTTATCTATGACTTTAAATGTCTCCAAATTCACTTTGTAGCTGTAGACCTACAAATTGAATATTTACATATAGTGTCTCTGGATGGTGATACTTGAGACTTAAATGAATGGACAGAGAAAATCAAATCTCGGCCACATGAGAGAAGATGAGGTCACAAAGTTCAGTGTGCCAACTTGCAGTATTCCCCCAGTTGGCTTTTGCACCACTCCCTTCAGACCGCACATGTGCACTTTTTTATGGATCTGCATTCAGATGATCAGGCCTTTATTCTTGCACTGATATCCTTTTGTCCTTTGTCCTGATAGTGTTTGCATTGCTTAAAATTTCAGTATTCTTTCTCTTCTTCTACTTTTTGGCTGCTTTAACTTGGTTATCATGCACTCTAGATTCATTTGAGACTCTGTGAAGATCAAATTGACACACAAATTAAAAAAAAAAACCCGCCAATCCCATCAGGATGTTTTTGAGCATGATCCTCTTTCAGTGTAAGCTAGAAGAGCTCCAGTGGAGGGTCTCTGGGTGCAAACTTCCTCAAATGTGTCTGTTTGCTGGCAGCCGATGGACCCCCAGTCTTTTTCTGTAGCAGGCTCTGGTTACCCTGACACAGTAAACATGCCTCTTATGCTGTATCCCATAACTTAAACATCTCCCTGCCAGAAAGCACTCACTGCATTTGGATCTTGTTCGTTCTCCACACATTCTTGTAATGAAACCTGGGAGATGAGTGGCTCTGGAGTAAAATTCATTGAGGTATTCATTAAAATTGGCTCCAAACACGGGTCAGAAACAGGGTTTATTTCCACAGCTCTCATCAGATGTTGTTTTCTGATCCGACAGAATTCACAGGGTGTGACCATTTTCCATGAGGGTCTGTTCTGGCGGTGCTCCTACACGGCCTTTTCTCACGATTACTCAATATGGGACCTTTGGATCTGTGAGAACCTTCATTACGTGTTTTATAAATGGCAAAAATAACACAGTGAACCTTTAATTGTGACAGCTGCCTTTCCCCCCTCTTCAGCAAACCAGCCTCTACCAAAAGTGTGTGAGGTCGCTTTCCTCTTCCCTTTTCCTGCTAACAAGCCGGTAGAGCTGTGGGATGAGCCGCACAAGTTTCCTGGACAGCCTGTTGAACGCAATGCGGCCACTGGTTGGCATCACTTTGTTATACAAGCGGCACATTGTCACTGTAAAAACAGCACTGAGCACTGACTGGCTGTCGTGTTTTCCTCAGTTTTCAGGATCTGCTGGACCATCTTCTTCGTCATGGGTTTGGCGGCGATCATCATCGGTGGATTTGTTGTCATCTGTGCCGGCCCACTGACCAACCACAAGCTCTATAAAGTGGGCGGGGCTCTACAGCTGCTTGGCGGTAAGGCTAAATATAGAATTGGAGGCTTCTTCTCAAACAGATCCTCAGAGGCTTTCTTCAGAAGGAGACTATCATGAGAACATTTTAAAGTATGTTGGGAGATTTCTGCCCACCAACAGAAGAAATTGTATAATTTACTTCATTTGTAATCACAGTTTTGGTCACAGTCCTCTTATCCAGTGTCCATCAAATAGGAGAACTATTTTTGTCTGATACCTTATTCACTAGAGATCATCACAGCAGGTACACTTTTGCCATCTTTTCCACGCCACATACGCTTTCTGACACAGTCTGAAGGGAATATGGGTCTCTGGCTAGAATTGAACCAGTGACCTTTCTCTTCCCCAGTGAATCTACAAACCACTACACAGTGAAGCCAGTGTTCTGGCTTTGATTTCTATGACTGGCCAGGAGTGCTACAGCAAACGTAGCCATTAAGTTGTTTAAAGTGGCCTCCAGGGCTGGACTGGGACAAAAAATCGGCCCGGGCATTTTGACTAGAGACCGGCCCACCAGGATAAAGATTGAAAATGTGACGTCATTCAGGGGCAAAACCGCAAAGGATTCTGGGAACTTGTGGCAAGAGGTACTAGCGCACGCAGGCTTTCAATTGAACTCAGTTACACAGCGATAAAAAGAAACCCAAAAAATGGCAAGAAGCTGTTGTATTATTAACTGCAATAGGCGGTCGCATGACAGCCACAGGAAGCCGACGGGTAAAGAGATCGTTTTTTTTTTACGTCGTTGAAGATACATTTTTTAAGCCATGTTTCCGAAGTAAGAGCCGACGGATGGTCTGGATATACCAAATATAACGTCTCAGAACACTCCAGCTCACATGTTAGTCTGCTCCAAGCATTCCCACAAAGGTCAGAGTTTTGTAGTAGTTAATACGTCATTTTTCTTAACATAATTGGTGATATAGGTTACAAGCAAGTCTGGTGCTGAACAGAAATTGTCGCGCTATGCTCCTTTGTTTATTGTGCATAAATAGTGAATTGTCCTGACACAATATTGTGTTTCGCTTCTGTTATTATGGTACATTGACAAAAACATACTTTTATTCACAGGATAAAACAGTTGTTTTGTATCACTAATTGTCCAGTGCGATTAAAACATACAATATTATTGTCACTGCTACATTTCTGTAATGCTACCAGAAATTATTTCCACTAATTAATTAACGTTGAGCTCAAAGGTTATATTAATAAACGGTTAACGAATGTGTATTTATGACGACAATTTGTGAGACTGGTAAACTTATGATACGTACGATGGTCTTTCGTTCTACACGGTGCGTTTCAAGGTCCTGCACCCATCCGTCAGTAAACTGTACCTGGGCTTGTTGCAGTGACCTGAAGTTACTAAACTTCACGAGTGTATGCACTCACTCCAAGAACCGTATGATTATAAATCTGAGCGTGGTGAAAGTTGGGCAGCACGCTATAACATCTTTTGTCCCTCTGTGTGCTCATAAGGGTCTGACCCTTTCACTCCTTTGATTTTTTCCTCGTATCTTTCTTTGTCTTTTCGTCGAGTCTGTCTTTGTACGGACCGGCATTGTTCTCCTTTTGTTTTGTACATTCCTTTTTTGTGCGGCAAAGAAAAAACAAGAAGGTATTGGAACCGGAGAATGAACGTTTTGCGGTACTGCAAACGCTTGCATTTGATGCGGTACTTGGATTGTTTTGCCACGAGTTCCCGGCATGCAATGCGCGAAAATCACGTGATTGCTAAACAAGGGGGCGGGTGCATCCGGCCTCCTCGGCTGTAATTGGTCCAGCCCAGAGTCGATCATGACCAATTGGCCAATCCAACAC